CCATGAATGGTCTGCCCTTCCAAGTCGTCCCAACTTCGTCTTGAACCCATGTTTGAAACCGGTCCGAGTGAGCTCCAGTTCCCCGTCCAAAGCCTTCGCGGATCCCGGGCAAGTTTTCTTGTCTCCCAGTTTCCCGCACGAATACCACGCTCCGCGCGAATGCCACGCAACTGGCCGGGTCCGGTTGAAGCACTGGGTACGCCGCTGCTGTTGGCTTAATATCGGGGAGATAGTGGATACCAAAGTCTTGCGCCAGTAGTGGTGCCAGTATAAATTGTTGCACTTGTGTCTTATACAGAAGGAATACCCTGACAGGCTCGGGCAGGCGAGCGAATGCCAGCCCATCCAGACATCAGTTTCTATTGCCAAAAAAGCCTGAACGAAAACCTTAAAAAAAGGTCTCTCTTGGAATCTTGTCGCCAGCACCGAATCACAGATCTCAACGAGCCTGCCACTGGCCCGGACCCGCCAAGAGTTGTCACCAGGGCGAGTAGCCATCGTGTGTGAGGAGGATAATCACAAAAAAGGGTTGCCGGGGTGCGGGGGTTAGGACCTAACAGCATGAGCTGAGTTAGTTATGACGGCTCACATCCGCAAGCTGCCTCTGTTCCTGCATGCATTCAGGAAACTCCGAGTAGTGTCCTGCCCCAGCGAATCACGGAACACGGCAGACGTCTGCCACTAAGCTATTCGAAAATCCGTATCCCCCAATCCAACAGATCTGTGGGATCGTCTGAATTTAGCATGGCCGCAGAGATTGACTCCTGCCATCGGGCAACGGATTTGTACTCGTCCCATTTTCGAAGTCCAGTGCGTCCCAGTACCGTGGCGATGTAGCAGTTGTGGACATGAAAGCGCTTGATCGAAAGCGCTTGACCGAAAGCGCTTGAACGAAAGCGCTTGACTACCGCTTGACCACTGTCAAGACAAAGAATACACGGAAAAGAAAGCTCGCGGGACTACGCCGGTGTGGTTAAACTGAGGACGTAGGTCTGTTGCGAAAACGGTGTTATAATGCGCGAAAACGTGCGGTGAGGAGTGGCAACATTGTGCTCGAGCACTAGTCGTCAAGCCATTGGTCATCTTCGTTTGCAATTAATTGGCTGAGTTCTTCTTCCGTTTCCGGGAAGTCATAGAGATCTTCCATGCCGCTGAAACACCGTTGATATTCTTCTGCTTCATACTGGTAGAACTCCACATCCGCGGAATCCAGAAAGCTCATCATTAGTGCTTGCTTTTTCGATATCGACTTCCACTCTGGAGCAATATCAGTCTCATCATGTATGCGAGAAGGGGGGTGGGAAACTACGCCAGACGGCTGTCCACGGCCGTTCACTGGGCCCCGTTTTTGAGCAGGGTCGTCATTAAAAGACACCGACTTCCGCGGGCGAGCTTTGTCTTTGCGCGATAACGCAGACTTCACTTGGTGTGTCGTCGCATCGCTGCTACTCTGTTCCACAGCGGAAGGTGCTTGCACACCTGCCGGGGAGTCACATATGGTGTGACTGCCATTTGTGCTACCATCTGCAGGGCGATTCCGCACCACAAGATTCCCGTCGCTCTGGCTCTGGTCCATGTCAGTCATCTTTCTCTGTTCAGCATCCGGCTTTTCAGCATCTGACTTTTCAGCACCCGACTGTTCAGCATCTCGAGGGAGTACCTCCGTCTGTTTTGAATCTGACTGAGTTAAATCTGGATGAGGTACTTCAGGGGCTCCGGTACTCCTCGACACGTTCGCCGCTGTTAGAGCAATTATCCCACTCGGTTCGGTTAGACGCCAAGGAGCACGATCCTGCTGGGGATTATCCGGGGTTTCGATCTCCACAATAAGTGGTCTAGTATCGCTTTGACCTTGGCCCTTGTTGCTATGGGCCTTGTTGGGCTTGCGGTATAAGACGTTTGTTCTACCCTTTATAATGTTGGCCATAAAGGTATTCTTGCTCGTTAGGAACTCTTCCTTTAAGCTTTCATCTATGCTTCGAAGCTGAGTAATTGTTGCATCCAGTTGTTCACGGACGAGCCTGTAGCCATTAAAACAGTCAATGGAGTGGAACGAGTCCAGAACGTCGCGGTCATATTCATCCTCGAGCATCAGCCGTAAAAATGATAGACTAGCATTGTAAGAGAGTCTTATACACAGAGGGGGAGATACACAGAGGGGGAGATATACACAGAGGGGAGATATACACAGAGGGGGAGATATACACAGAGGGGGAGAAATACACAGAGGGAGATATACACAGAGGGGGAGATATACACAGAGGGGGAGATATACACAGAGGGGGAGATATACACAGAGGGGGAGATATACAC